ACAACTTTCAACTAGCAGAAGAGCGTCTCTTCTATGTCCACAGATCTTATAGCACTATGTAAGTGCACACAGCTTTCCAGCACGAGTCAGTTAGCCCGTCTCTGTATTGTTTTGATACAACAACTAAGAAGAAGAGGAGAGGGTGGAGGTGACGCAAGATGCTAAGAAGAGAAAAAAGAGAGAGAGTAACCGAGCAAGAAGCAGAGTGTTCATCCCTGCAGATGTTACAGATGTTATTCATTACAGATTGGGACGTAACGTTTAGACTGTTATCGGTGTCATCGTTGTCTCATGTTGAGCAGCTTAACCAGCTGCAGAAAGTCATCTAACTCGAGTTATCTGTCAGGCTTGCATACAAATAAATAAATTCATCTAACGCCAAAAGTTGTCCCTACATCTGGCAGTAGATGCTAGCAGAGTCATTTTTGTGCAAAATCTGGGGATATGGGGCGCTGGTGGCACAGTGGTCCATATGTAGGCATTGCTCCTCCCAGCGGGCGGCCCAGGTTCAAATCCCACCTGTGGCTCTTTTCCCGCATGTCATTCCCCACTCTCTCTCTCCCTGATTTCTGAATCTATCCACTGTCCTATTCCTCAATTAAAGGCACAAAAAAAAGCCCAAAAATAAAATAAATCTGTTAATATTTCTGCACCTTGTCAGTCGCCATTGGTCTTTGGTTTCTCACAACACCGCCCCTCTGGAAGCATAATAGCACTGAGCAAACCATCAGTATTGTAAGAAAAATAAGTCTTGGTAAAACAAAGAACATCTTCAGCTATTTTGTCCCAAATGGGTGTAATGTAAAATTAACCCTGCACTGCGTTGGTGCATTATTGACCTAAAACTGAAAACTCCATTTTCATTGTTATATTATGGAATTTAATCGAATTGACAGTGTGCACTCTTCTTCTTTCCTCTCTGCGTCCAATCACATCCTGGCTTCTCGCAGCCTCCACCAGCTGCCTCCTCCACACAGGGGGTCGTCTTGCACGCTGCACCCGAGGATGTGCCCCCTTGTACCCTGGGTACAGTGACTGAGAGTGAGGAGGGGGGGGGGGGGGGGGGGGGGGTTGGGTCTGTCTGAAGCTCATCCACTGCTGACTCATCTCACACACACACACACACACACACACACACACACATACACATCTACCCCTCCTCTCTCTCGCTTTCACTCTCTCGCACTCTTGAGAGGCAGCGGAGGCGGCAGGCTGAGGAGTCGGGGATGGCGGCCAGTGGGTGCCGTCAGGCGGTGGTAATCTGACCGGATTACCAACCAGGTGGAAACATTCAGCCTCTCTACTCCCACTTCTCCTCCTCCTCCTCCTCCTCCTCCTCCCTCTCTTCCCCCTGCTCCATCCATCTATCATTTACATGCTCGTATTCTCTTTTACTCTTGGTTATTTACGTCTTTTGATGGAGCCAATCTTTTTGTTGCCCTATCACATAGTGGTACTCTTTACGGTTCTGTTCCACCTATATGCCTCTAGTTCGTGAAGGTGCAAAGAAACTTACAGGAATACACAAATAAACACAAATCACCATTTTACTCTGCACGTCCTGCAACTCGGTGTGTGTGTGAAAGTGCGTGTGCAGGTAGGTGGGTGAAAGGGGAAGTCTGGCCTCTGCTGCCATGATGATCAAAGGAAAACTTTCAAGAGAGGAGGAGGTTAACTGACAGCATCATGACAAATGCATCAACACACACACACACACACACACACATATAAATACATCATCTGCAAGAAAAGGAGAATCTCACTGCAGGATCTTGTTCTTCTCAAACAAGACCGAGTATTAAGTAAGAAGAGGAATAGAATAGAAAAAAAAAGTCAGGAAGGGAGGCAAAAAACAAAGTGGTGTCGGGTTTATCTAGTCTAACCAAAACTTAAGAATGTTTTTATGCAAACACAATGCATGGTGTGTGACTGTGCAGCTGTGAATGTGTGCATGCATGTTATATGAACATAGGCCCTTTCCGTCTGTATTACTAGGTCACACACAAACACACTCTCTCACACACACACACACACACAGCCATGTAAACAAAAACCGTCTGCTGTCTGGGAAGTAACACACCTGTTCAATGACAAGCTCTGCCACGCCCTCCATAATACTGCACACCTGTGCTTCTGCAAGCTAAACCTAATCTTAATCAGAAACACACACATATACACACATAAACACACACACACTTGCAGAACTACTGCCCAGGGGCTAACATCACAGAAAAGGGGCGAGAAAGAGGGAGAGAGTGTAATGAAAGCAAAAGGAGGGGAAAGAGAGACAAAGGCTTTCCCACTGCTCTTATCAGTAATCTAAACGCCTGTGTAATATCATTGTGAGGTTTTATCAGATGGGGGGCTGCGTCTTATGGCGTTGGTATGTGCCTGTCATTCCATCACCTTGTCAAGCGCGACCATATTCAAGCAGACACCATGCTGATCTAAATAAGAGGCTTCGGCAAATTGATGGATTGCACGTTTTCTGGGAAATGAAGAAACAGACAGAATGAGAGGTTTTTTTTGTATACTTTGAATTTCTGTAAGCAGCACACATGGTTCTGTCTGGTGTAAAGGTAAAAAAAAAAAAAAAGTGTGTCGGTGTGTGTGTTTCTCTTTCCAAAGATCTGAAACATACCCCCCATTGTAACCCCCCTCCTGCCCTGGTATGGCCAACCCCACATCATATCAACCCCCTGTGCTGAGGCCTAGGGCCAGGCATACAGCTTTCTGAATCTCTAAGGGGGACAGGCACAAAGGTAACCCCCATTCTAACCTCCCAGCAAACACACACACACACATGAGCCCCAACCCCCATCCCAAAACAACAATCCTCTATGCCCATCATGTCAGTCAAAACCCCATCAGGGACATGCATGGAGAGTCTGGATATCTGGAATCTCAATACAGTGTCATGCACCTTGAGACCCAGTGAGAGGCCCTCTTGAATATATTTCAATAGCATTATCAGCCTGCATTACTACGCTTTCCCCCCCCCCTTTCAACATTACAGAATCATTTTTAAATTGGAGCATAATACCTGTCACCGGGTAGCAATAGTAGTTTAAGGGTAAGATAATCTGTTTAAATTGTCACGCAAGGTAAGATTGTTTGTCCCACTATCTCTGGAAAAAAAAAAAATCAGACATTTTTGGTCCAATCCCATCAGTTGAATTTAAAGTAGACATGCGGTAAATTGTCTCGTGAAATATACAAAATATTTTATCAAAAAAAAGAATGTATTATGCGTTTGGAATAATTTTATAATTTCTTCAAATATAGTGTCATGTAAATCTATAATTATGTCAATTATTTAATATGTAATATACCATCATAAATGCATTTATAACAGAATAATACACAGCCTATATTTTGGTTACATTAAATTAACAATTAAATATTTATAGTGTATAGACGATTACGTTTGTACAATTTAAGAATATTTGAAAAAAATAATAAATTATGAAAGATTATATATAATTATGTTATACTTTTAGTCTAATTGATATTGTTAAATTACTTTACAGATTTAAATTAAAAAAAACAATTAGCCTTAATGCACACAACAGTTGTGGTGAAATTAGAATAAAACAGCATTAAGCAACAACTGAACTCTAAACTTCAGAGCCATGGGGAGAGTAGGATCATATCATATCACAAGTTCATTCAGCCTATTAATCAATCTCCATTATGAAGCAGCCAACACGGAACCAGAACCAGTCCAGCTTCTTTTTTTTCTTTTTGCAAACGCTGTGTCGAGTTTTACGTTTTGTCCCAACGAGATTTAATCTAATAAAAAAAAAGAAAAAAGAAAGTGTCGACTTTAATTTCTGTACAGGACGTCTGCGTCGGGCTTGCTGTTGTGTAGAACTAATGAATATGCAAATATGATGTAGACAGAGGATGTGTGGATCTTACACGTAGACCCCGAGTCTTAACGTCTATTTAAAGAAAGCGCCGCATTAGCAAACGATAATTAATGAGATTTCTCATTGGGAACGTTTACATACATTCATCCCGTTAGTCCACTATATGAATCCCAGCCCAGGCTCGCTCTCTCTCTCTCTCTCTCTCTCTCTGCGCGCACACACACCTTCCACCCCCCCCCCCCCTCTCCTATTGAGACAGGATACCAAAGCTACTTGTTAAATCTAATGCATGCACTGTCAACCCATTCGCACCCCGTCACGTCCCCGCTCGATATAGAAACCGGATTTTCTGGTATTACCCGCACCTCCATTAGCCAGAGCTCCCCTCCCTCTCCAAAACCAATGCGACCCCCAGTTTGGGACCAGTACAAACCAGCACCAGCACCACCAGTAGGCTATACCACCACAATGTTCCTGGAGCCTCAGAGACACTTTGGAAACGAGGGACTCGATCAGCTAATAGCTTTAATTTATTGTTTAATGGGAAATATAAGCAGTTGAATTACCCAATTCTAATTAATTACATCAAATGGCAATGATTAGTACTTTCCTAATTGATAAAAACCATATAAATCTATGACGAGATTATGCCACTGGAAACGCCCAATAATCCCTAAATAATAAAAATGAATAATCCCAAATACTCCTAACATTATGATATATTTTATGTCAAAGACAAAAACGGGAGGTGTGCCGTTCATTTTCAAATAATCTAATGTGTATCAGGTGAAAAATCCACTCCTTAAACCAAGTTTCACTTTATGGCGTGACGTAAACACCAGAATGATATTTCTATGTTTATTTCTATGTTAAAGAAAGCAGCCATGTCATAAACAGTTCATGAAATTGAGTAAAACATAAAACTTACATTTGCTAATTTCTTAATGTTCCACCAAGTCTGAGCGATTTCCCACTGCAGTAAATTCTAGTCCGTCCCAAACAGCTTCAAGGTTTCCCAAGTTTGTAGTATGGAGAACATATGTTTCAAACAAAAGAGAGTAACTGGTTGTTTTTGAACACACACTTGTCATTCACACACACGAAAAAAGAGCCGCAGTCCAAACTGACCTGAGTGCGGACCCATGGAGAGGTGGGATGAGAAGTATTTCCCCGGCTGGAAGTGAGCAGGGTGCTGCACGGAGCCGTGGCCGCCTGGCGCCATCCGAGACGCCGCGCCGTGCACCAGCGCGCTCCGCTCCGTCAGGAGGTGGTGCGGAGGAGCGAAATCTCGGCTTTCCATCCCGGTTTTAGAAGCGATAAATCCCAAAACGCCCAAAGTAAAATCCGGAGGCACCGAAGGTCTCAGGCACCCAGATTCAAAATAATCCCTTTTATGAACTTCGGGCTCCCCTCGCATTGAGCGGAGTTCTGGCTTTGCAGGGTAGAAACTGAGTCCCCGTCATGTCCTACAAAAGAGAGAGCAGGAGACGCGTCAAAGCGCTGACAATAATGAGCCAGGCAGAGATGTAGAGAGCTGAAGAAAAGGCTGGAGTGAGAGACAGTCGCTGTTCATGTTTAGACAAACAACAAAAGCAATACACATTTCACACACAAAAAAAAAACCCGCTGTAAATGACCAAGCCTGCTGCAAAGGATTTTCACTACTTTTCCACATTTTTCGGATTCGCAGTTTCCACTGATTTTTACCAGCACAGGAAGGTTATAACGCCTGTCCTATGGAAAAAGGGGGCTGGAGCTGACTTTATTTGGATTTACCACGACTACATATCGCTGCTCCTAAGCGTTTGCAACACCCTGGTTTCATTCAGTACCAAAACAGTGAGTTACAGTACAGGATATTTAAAATAATATAATTGACAAGTCGTGGAGTCTTTAGATGCAACAAGGACTAAACAAGCTGGATCTCGGGGAATCCTGCTGAAATGTGAAGAAACGCACTCGCAAAACATTTCTGGGCGAGAGTGCAGATTTACCTTTAAAATCTATTTCTCAACCTTACATAATTAAGAAACATACTATTACTGTATGTAATGTACATATTACTGTACTTATGCTTGTTATTTGTGTACATTAGGATTTCTTTCCATTGTCAATAAATCTTATCCACTGTATACCTGTTTGGCTGAGTCACTGTACAGAACCGGCTATTATTTCATTCTTTAATTCAAGAAATAGGAATGAAGGGAAAGTGATTGACACGAGACCAAGCAGCTACACACACAACACACACACACACACACACACACACACACACATGCGCATACACAACACAGACACACACAAACACATTCCTGCCTTGGATCAATAGTGTTTGATGTAGGCTATGGCGTTTATAAATTATATCTGATTATACTTATCTACGTTTTTTTTAATTTAATCTCCAAACTCGTTTCCACTGTAATTTTTGTATTATAAAAATATAAAAAAAATACAGTATTTTAAATTGTGGCGTTGTTGTTTTAATGGAAACGGCCAGAAAAACAGCTATTTCTATCAACTCCTCGACCCCCCTCTCGCCTCCTGGCAGTGGAAAACACCATCTCTGTTACATTTACAGTATATGTAGGCTACACTGTAATCACAAACACAAATCACATCACCTTTCTGCTCCAGAGCGAAAGAGCGAGGCAATAAAGAGTGAAACAGACTCGGAAATCATCGACTTTATATGTATGCCTTATAGCCCAGGTCATTTACTTAAATAGGGCTCCATGTGACGCTCAGATAGGGAGAGAGAGAGCCAAACACACACACCTCGGCAGCCCATCTATTAGGCCTTTCAATGCATGGCACGTCCATCTAGCGCTGTGTAGATGCTGATAGCACCTCCCAGGAATCAACGATAAAGGAACAAAGAAAATATCAAATGCTCTGGTGGACCAGGGGCTTATGAAGTGCAGGAGAATGTAGGCTGCATGAGCTCGGAGATTCTGCTCTCCTTTACGCACACACACACACACACATACACACACACACACACACACACACATTACTCAAGGACTCCAACTTCAGGAATTGTGTTTGGAAGGGCGATTTCCAAAGTTCATCAGCTCTGCAGTAGAGTGTGTACTGTGCGTCAAGACACTCAAATATCAAAAAGTATCCAAAATATTCAAACGACTCCCAACAGCTTGTTTGCCTTATAGGGTAAGAGCACTGTGGTGACTAATTTAATTTCCCCTTTGTTTGTGGAAAGCCTGTTAAATACATATTTTTAACTTCATATAGGACTCCAAAAGGAAAATCAGAGAGAAATTCAGGTACGCGCACTAGAAAGGCAAAATGGACTCTCTCTCCTGTCCCCTCGGCTGTGAGAAACAATGGCCCTTCTCTACGGGACATCAATCATACACCACTCTCGGCTGACATTTCTCTATACATTTTTAAATTTCCAGCACGTAAACACACGTCCTCCCGTGTTTACATTCCACGTCAACAGAGAGCCACTCAGGCCACATTTTAACAACCCTGAATCTAAATCCCGTGTTATCGCGCGCCGTGCAAACAGAACGACGTGAGCAGATCGTGCGTAACAGTTTGGAAGAAAAATGGTCATTTGCAGATCTGCTGTACAGTGTGTGTGTGTGTGTGTGTGTGTGTGTGTGTGTGTGTGTGTGTGGAAGGGTTCGGACTTCTTTTGCATTCACCCCAGACTCCCGAAACCCCCCATACACACACCTCAAACTCTCTCTCTCTATATATGACACACACACACACACACCTTCCAGACTCACACACTTTCACCATCACTGCCCCGCAAAGGGTCAAATCGCCTTATGAAATCATCCAGCGAAACTATACCAATACTTCTCAAAACGACACACATGAACCCAACGCAAACGCCATTAATTATAATTATAAGACCATGTGTTATAACATAATCGCGTTTTATGCTTTTTGACTTGAATCATAAATGTGTAATGCCTGAATTTGGACAAAAAGGGAATTAAAAGGCTTTAACGTCCACGGTGAGCCCGGTTCAGAGGCCACCTCGTTGCCTCCAACAATTCAGCAATAACGTAAAGTCACACAAAAATAATGGAGACGGTAAATCGGTATGATCAGAAGCCGGCTAAACAGGAGAGACAAGCCGGGTTGAGTCGAAGACAGCCCGGCGTCTGCACAGCCGTCATACCGAGAGAGAGAGAGAGAGAGAGGGAGAGGGAGAGACAGAGGGGAGGGAGGCACTGCAGTTTGCAATAAAAAACTGCCTGAGTCTTCCTCCCTCTCTAGCGCACACACACAAGCTCACACACAATGGGAAACTAACAAAGAATTATCTACAATTTGTAATAAATAAAGGAGTGGAGAATCGAGAGGGGGGGTAGAGAGAATGAATTAGAAAACACACAAGTGAAGAGAGGTCAAATCAGAAAGTGTCTCTCACACACACACACCCACCCACACACACACACGCACACACATACATCGCCAAACAGCTCGGAGACCAAAGACTGGAAATAAAGTGGGAATAAATCCTTCTAAATATTTTTATACTGAGACACATGCTTCTTTAATGAAAATATGATCATTAGTAAATAAAGTTTGTCTAACGATGACTGCTCTCTAATGTATATAGAAGAGGCACACCAGCCTCATCATACTTTTCATTCTCTAAAGGTATGGCAGTGAATAGAAGAGGAGACATTTAAAAACTAAATAGATCACCTTCAAAATAAAAGGGGCAAAATTAGACTTTAGTCTGCATGCAGCAATGGAACTACTGATCCACATGCAGCACAAACGCTAAAGGTAAAAAATAAAATAAATGAGCTGTAACATAATTTGCTACTTACTGGTAAGTTATATCCATTGCTCAATGAGCAGTGTAGAATGAAAGAGAAAGTAGAAAAATATTCAAAGTGAAATCCCCGAGTCGCAGAGGTGAAACATGTGGGATTGATTACATCCTATGCTGCTGCAGACTGAGCTGTGCACCCAGTTGAGGTATGGGAGAGACGCATCGTAGAAGTTCAGGCTTGTAGTGAATCGAGGCTCGTTCATGCAGCCGGAGACTCAGACACGCCGGGAGGAGGAGGAGGAGGAGGAGGGAGGAGGATGGAGGGGGGTGTGTGCGCGGGGAGGGGTGAACGCGCAGGCCTATTGGTTTGAGTACGACAATACGAAAGCGTGCCCGTGAGGCGCCCCCCTACCACCACCACCACCACCACCGCCCCACCCTACCCTTTCCTACACACACCCTTACCTCCACCACCACCCTCCTCCTCCTCCTCCCCCCTTTGACGGTAAACACGAGCTGCCATTGGCCCACACCCCGAGCCAATCCGGAAGCAGCCGGAGCCGCGGAGGAAAAATCGGCGGGCGTTTGATTTGCAGCCCTTCGGCGCGCTGTGTGCACAAGCAAATGTGAGGAGACAAGGCGGCACAGCTCGGCGGAGAGGAGCCGGAGCCGTGCAGCGCTGCCTCCACTTTCTGATCACTGGGTGGAGAGCATTCAGCATCTAAACCCATTCTGTGTGATCCCAGCACAGCTCAGTTCAAATGTGCTCAGAATGAAGCGTTATTTCGCTCTGTGACAGAGATGATGTGATAGTTTTATTGATGTTCCTTGGAGAATTCGCCCTCACTACATGTGTTTTGCTAAATAGATCCCCTTTTTTCCTAAAATACTAAAAATATTTTTAGTCATTTATTGGACATGCATGCTTTTTTTTTTTTTTTTTTGCGGTTTAAGTAATTTTTACACATAATGGCAATTTATGGCTTATATGTGTAAGACATAAAGTTAAGTGTTAATTTAATAGACATCAATTAAGATACTGGGATTAAATCTAAATGGTTTTATGAAATATTATCCATTGCAATGCTCAAAGGCAGATACTGCTCTGATAGTGCAAATTGTGTCTTAACTTAGACATTTCCTAAGTTGTAATTAAGCTCTAATAGTTAATATGGGAGGAATCTGGCTTACAAGAAACTTGAGTTCTGAGTGTTAGTATGGAGAAGGAAGTTTAAAAAAATGACAGACTAAGCACGGGGTAGACAAAGTAACACGTAATTTTAATAAAAACGGGCAACAGTACTGAAGATTTCCCGTGTTATAACTGCGTCTGCTTACCTGTCTCCGCGTGTCACACACACACATTCACAAACACGGGCAAATTGAATCACTGCGTAATTTGAAAGCATTACTGTCCCCGGGGTTAGCCTCGCGCACGGTTCACTAATTTAGTCAATTAAAAGTGGAAGGATATGGGCTTGTGTGTTTCCATGTCGAAATATATGAGCTCCTATAGGCTAATATTCCCGTCCAGGTTTGTTTATATGAGGAGGCAAAGGGTTAAAGCTAGGGGCTTCGGCTCCACGACGCTCCCGATTGGCTGGCACGTTGCCAGAGTGCTGTCAATCACCGAGTGTAAACAAGGCTCTGATTGGCTGCTGGCCAGTCCGCACTGGGCTGCCTGAAAAAAGCAATTACTGCCCCTGCGGTTTCAAGGCGGCCCCGCGCTGAACGATGAAAGGAGATAAGGAGAAGCGGTTTCCAGGCGCCCCCCACGGCGAACCCCGTTGGCCCCAGAGCAAAAGGAGAGTCAAGAGTGACTAAATCAAAGGGAATACGGTAAAAGGGGGAAATTACACGTTGTTTTAAACATAGAGGCTGCATTCGCGGAATGGTGCAATAACAACTTTTGTTCAGAAAATGGAGGAGAGAAACGGCAACACTAACCGGAAAACGGCTCCACCGCTGATTCGAGAGAGCTCTTTTTTTTTTACACGGAAGGAGAAAGTTTGTGTCGACTGAAGAGACAGTGAAGAAGACGGTGAATAGAGAGGGAAAGGTCTATTTAATTCAACATTATGATATTCTTCCACCAACATGTTAAAACACTGAAGAAGGTGACTCATCAGGACACGGCTCTCATTGAGTGCTACACCTAATATGTTGACTCAAACTTTTTATTGCCAACTGTTCAATAGTCTTATTAAGTGGACATTTCCGCTCTGACGTAGCTGCTTGAACGTTTGACCAGTTTTATTAAATTGGGAAAATTAATTGCATCAGAAAACGGGAATAGCTTAATGAAGTTATCAAGTAAGATATTTTAATTTTTTAAAGTGTTGCCCTAGAATAAAGTCGACTTCTAAAAATGTAAAGAAAATTATCACAGTCAGCATTTAATTCAAATAAATATGAATTGGTCTAAATGTTGTAGTTCAATTTTGTAAATAGCCTACATTTCCGGAGGAAACTTTTGTTGAATATTTAATTTAAAAAAATGTTATTGGGTAAAATATAAATTCATTACACACACACACACACACACACACACACTTGTCCAGGACTGATATGCACCTCAGAACACGAAAACTGTTCCTTGCTGCTTGGTCCAGCCTCCCCCCCAAACAAAATACAGTGGACAAAGACGACCCAGGCTGATCTGCAGAAACACACAGAAAGCTTCTAAAGTCTCCGCGTGCAAGAAAAACACTTTCATTCAAACAGTACAATGAGTGGACACATTTATAATTCACATCAAATACGCCAAAGTGAGCAGATTTCTCACGTCTGTTATTTCATAATCGTTACCCTCTTTTACCCAGCAGCCTTGCATTCCAAAGGCAGAGCAGAGTGCTCTGCTATGGGCTTCAGCGACCACGTGTCCACACACAAGAAGACACAAACACACTCACACAGCCGGATGCAGAAGAACTATACAACACTTAATTTTTGCATACGCACAGAAATGTTAAAGGTCGATCTATGAAAAGCCTTAATGTGCTTTTTGCAAGATATCGATGAGGGATTTGACTCTGAGATGACAAAATAACAACAATTATTGTAAACATCGATGACAACGTAAGGCCTGTGTGTACAGTATGTGCAGCATGAATTAAACGTATAAACGGCTAAATAAAGAAAATGCACATATCAAAAGGCTTTATCGCCGTGTTTGCAAAGAGCCAACCAGGAAGTATGGACCCCTAAAAGACTATAACCAACAAGTTTGCAATGCATCAAATTAATAACTCACACGGTCAGCTTTAATATAGGAAAAAGTTTTGTAATTTTCAAACGGATTAATTTGTTTTTCAGGATTTTTACGTCAAACTAGGCTATAACAACTTGGAAATCAATTCTGTCACTTTTCTTTTAGATTCACTGCCCACGACACGTTAAAGGAAGAAGTCAGTAATACATGTTCATAAAGCGTATGAAGTAATGTAACAAACGTTTACATACACATATTTATTTAGTTATGCCTTCATTTCCCTGTTATCTACCCAAACAGTGTTGCCCTCAGCACTAATGACACAGGGACAATAAAGAATCCCGTTCAGCAGCTCACAAAAGGGGTCCGCCACTTAAAACAGAAATCTGCATTTAATTTATTTAGTGACAAGGAAAAGCCTTTTATGGCTTGATTTTTATTGGTTCTTTTTCACTTAAAAGGTGGGGGCTGGGTGTGTGAGTGTGTCTGTGTCCGTGGATGAGTGTGTGCAGAGGGAGAGAAAGCATAACACACACACACACACACACCCCAGCCTCCCGTGGTCCGTGTGCCAGCGCGAACTACCCAATACAAGAAGGGGGAGGGGGGGGGGGGGTAATTAATGCGGATTGACTGATTGCTCTTGAAACAGACCGGTCCTGCGCAAGGATTGTCCTCGAGCAATGAAGCGTTCCTGACTGACACTTTCCACCTTCCCTTCTTCGCTTCCTTCTTCCCTTTCTTTTTTCCCTCCCCCTCTTCCCTTTCGCTCACACTAGACCAGTGCGCGAGCTCTCTTCCTCAGCCCGGGATGAGACATGGAGATAAAGCGATGGAAAACTTACTAAAACATACACTGGTAGTCTAACAGTCGTTATTTATAGTCCAGCTTCAGGGTCCGACTGTATATTTTTCAACTTGACTTGCATCCGTTTAGGAGTTTTATGAAGAGTTATGTCTCCTTTAAAAAAATAAAGGTATAGACATTTTACGCACATTACAAAAAGTGCATGTAAAGCTCCTCTACATCCCCAAAATTAATTGAATAAACTTTTGAACGTCTAAGCAGGATCACATGAAGAAAAAAAAACATAATTCACAGTCAACGGGAAACACATTGGCGAGGCTGCTTTTTAAATGAGCTCCAAATGGAGAGCTGTCTCCACGGGAGGCCGCCCATGCAGGGGCAACTGGCCCTTTCCCCCACCAGATATTTCTGATGGCCCTTTAACGATGTGAATATCCAAACAGGAGCCGGACAGCAGAGAAACGACTATCTAAAGGTGGTGCAACCACTATAGACAATGGAGCTATATGGAAAAGCACATAACGAGATATAGTTGCTGCCAAGCCTGGAAAACAGGGCTGCTCTCTCTGTCCACTCTGGGCGTGTAGCAGCGGGGATGTGGGAACAGTTACAGCCCAAAAGACTGTAAATATGGAAACTCAACGAACAACGAGGGCATCTTTAACCGTTTGTGATGGAGTCAGGAGAAGACTGGACACAAACAACGTGACCTTTTCCTTCTCAGTGTGCAGCTTTGTGTGATCATATTCTTCAAGGGAGCTCAGGTCAGGAAATGTGACCGCGTGGACATCACACAATTAGATTGTCTTGATTGAATTGCTTTTAAAATAAAAGCTCCAGACACCTTCAGATGTAGATGATGATGATGATGGTGCAGTGCACGAAGAAGATGATGATGGTGGAGGTGGGAATGGCTCGACACCAAATGAGTACCTGTCACACAGCCATATATCCAGCTGTAACCACCAGCAGGCCTGTATAGATGAAGCGAAAGCACCACCATCTATTTATACGCCATCAGGTGGAGGCTTTAATTATCATTACCATTTGAACGTAAACAGCCGTATAGCGTGCCGTCCCGCGCCTGTTTGCACCGTGCAGCTTTATATGTGGTTTATATTCAGGCAGGGAGGAGAATGTGATGTTAACAGCCAGTGAAATGTTGATATTATACACGCAAATAATGGGATTAAGTAGCCTATATCGTGTGCCTGACGTGTGACAGCGTGTGTGTC